TATATATATATATATATATATATATATATATATATATATATATATCACATACGTCTGAGACCAGAATGTGTGCCAAAGAATCACGGTAGAATAATCTTTATGAAAAGAAAAGAGTTCCCTAAGCTATAATGTCATTCGAATCTCCCGGCTTGGCTGGCCGGTTTTAATTTGTAAAACAAATAGATTCATGTGGCTGTGGGACTTACCCACCCGACTGGTCATTACACTGAAATCGTGCAACAAAAGTCGAACTCGTGGATCGTTTCACAGGGTTGAAGAAACCAGTTCCATGGGTTCAGAGAAGTTGACACAACCGGATAGGCTGAAATTTTGTTGTGCCATTGGACACCACATTGGGTCACACCTACCAGGCCGTGGAGCTCACTGATCGCTTGGGACCGGATTGCTCCGTAGACAGTTTACATAAACCCTAAGGCGTATCCGTTCGTGCGGTCTTAACGTAAGCTCAGATGGTAGATGCCATCATTACAGAGGCTCTCTTGAGAGGTTCCGATGCGAGAGATCCTACCTAGATCGACACTAGCCGATGCAGCAATGCATAAGCTTCGTGTTACAACGAGAAATTGCTAATAAATCAATCAAAAGGACCGAATTATGGAGAAAGACCGGACGACCAGTCAGTTTTAGTTCATCCAAGCATTAACCTTGCACTTTGATGCGGCAGTTTTGTTTGTCGCTCACTTGGATGGAGAAGTAGGGAGAGGGGTTAAGAGCAGCGCCAATGAGTGAAAAGAACGCCGGTAGACTGAGGTTGTAAAGAAAGTGAGTCGGGTACTGCTGTCTGCGACACTCAGTCATGCCTTTTAGTGTCGACCAGATGCGTAACACATACCCAAACCAACTCTGCGTCTAGCTTCAGCACTGTTCATCTGGGTGCTCTAGCAAACGCGTGTGGTGCGATTTGGACAGCGATTTTCGAATAACGCCAATTTTTCTTGCTCATGTAACCGCCAGGGGCACCTTTCGATCTGACAGAGTTTTGCAACTCGGTATTGTTCAACCGAAACACCTGTTATAGATGCAAAATGAGAATCTGTATCTGTCTGGCGGTGGCTGAAAAACGAACGAGAATATAAACAATGAAATCCACAACTGAGGCTGAGGAAGTGATGACAATACGTGTGCAAACAGAAGCACAACTGTAATGATCGCGATTTTTTCTTCTTCATAGAATGCTCATTGGTACCTCGGAGGGAGTTATTTCCAAACAAACTGACCTCGAGGAAACCTTACAATTGTTCAATAATAATACACTATGGTTCAGACCGCGGTTGCCTAAAACTTTGCATTGGGCTGCAGCCCTAAACATATGATAAAAAAGAAGTTCGTTACAAGGAGGTAGAAAGTAGGATTTCCGATGCAAATGTGTTAAGAATGGACTTTGTGACAGCATTTTTGGGGAGTGTGAGCGAAGACCAGTTCAGTTCAGTTTAAACAACCATTAAGTACGCATTTCAGTGTGACGCTTAGTTTATCGTTGGAGAAACTGAGGCCCCTTCATTGATGTGCACACACGCACAAACTGGTAGAAAAAGTTCAACCATACTCTGTAGATGAGCGAGTATCCTTTAGTGCATGAAGGGAATGCAGCATGGACAGCGATGTGAACTAATGAGGATGAAAGCAAAATAGCACTCTGATGAAAGGACAAACTAGACCGATGAACATGATAACGAAATATGACGCAATCACGGATGAAAGCAAAACACAAGAGACCATCATCAATGAACGCAACCAGACTGCTCCGGAGCACAGATTTTCCAACAGGCTCCATAATTACTCTACATCCGGATATATTAACTGTGAATCCCATTCGGTCAACAATGCGTGCGATAATACAGCTAGCTAGCTGATCGATAGGAATGAATTGATTGTTTGACAAATCCAGGCAAAACTTTCCATTTCCCGTAGACAAAGAAACTAGCATTGAATATGACAGCAATGGGGATGTGTGAAACTGACAGCAGCTTCATCACACACACACACACACACACACACAGAGAATAGTCGTGATTCATCACTCATGCTGAAGAATGTCAGCCCAGAACGGATGCTAATTGTACTTGGCTTGTGTACCAAGCACACCGGACGAGTGGGATTGTAAAGGGCACTCAAGGAAGATTACCCAAATGGGTCATTTACATGCATAGATGCATGTTTTCACTATTCCCAATCTTCTCGTGGTCTCCCCTTATTCATGTGATCAATCAATGTGTTTGAAGTGTGATGCAATTTTATTTATACGCTGGCTTGCGGAAACGTTATTTCTATATAGTTGTTCAACCTGTCACTTGTTCCCAGTCTGCACACTAACTTATATATATTATATTATTGTATATTATTATTATATCATATATCACTATATTATCTCACATTTTCTCACTTGATCAACGCACACACATATCGACATTTTTAGGCAGGATAGGAAGCTTGTTTTTGTGTGCGACGGTAATTACGAGATTTACCAGTGCCCATTATACTCGTACAGTGCACTCACATTTCACTTCCGTATATTACGTTGATCTAAGAATTATACGATGTACTAAACTTGAATTAGTAGATCGCATTGTTGAAAAAGATTTTCAACTGATCGCGCGCGATACTATTTACTCACGTAACCTCAATTCTTGTCCACTTATATATCTACCTTGGTAGAACTCGGTTCAAGTTATTGCCCGCGATAAGTACAAACTACTGTCTTGATACCATATATATATATATATATATATATATATATATGCCACTCAATTGAGTTTTATATTTTACCTGGAGTAAACATCACAGATGCAACATCGGAACGCATACAGAAAGCTCGATTAGCAGTTGCCAACTATAGATACATCTCTGGCAACGTAGCGACATTCAGTTGTCGAGTGCATGCTGCCATAGTTCGGTTGGGGCTACTGTCTGGTTAAGAAATATGTCCGTTACGGAAATGAGATCAAATTAGGTTGTCGGTGTTCGAGCATCGATGTTTCCGCCACACATTGCACCATTCTGGCGAGGTAACCGGACAACTAATGCTGAGGTTGGGCCTCAGGTTTTTTGACAATCGCTGTAGCGCACCGAAGCAATTGCTCGATCTCCATGAATTACGTTGGTTGGGGCATTCGTTACGCATGGCATGGCAAGTAGATTGATACGGCGAACGAATTTTACCGAGACAGACAGTGGATGCAAAAAAAGTCAAGGGTGGTAAAACTAAGAGCTAGTATGAGGGTACAAAAACCCTAATCATGAGACTGGATCATATAGGTTGCGTTCGGCTTCCTCGATGGTCGCTTCAGGGTCAGTGCAACGGATAGTTGGATTCATCATGGAGAGGTTGCACCTCGACATATTGTAAGGGCTTGTGCACTTCTATGACCCAATCAACTATACAGGATGGCTTTTATTAAACCAGGAGATTTTGCCATACCCGGGAGATCAAAAGTAGAGATCAAACCAAATTCAGTCACCTGGTCCTCCAGACTGGAGGTCCGACTAGAATTGACGGGGAAGTAATCGATCCAAGCAAATGGGCTCCTACTTTGGTTTACCCACTACCTTATGGTAAGAACTAAAGGCTTTGGAAGAGAACCATAGTCGTTCTTCTGCTTACTGGTCAGGTGTCCTATCAATCAATACCTGGCTACCAAACTCAAATGCATGTACAGACTAAACAGCATTGGTCGCTTCATTCGTACCCCAAATTGTTCACTCGCTAGACTAATGATATGAAGACTCAAATGCTGCGTGAATAGGGCTATTCCTAACCTGAGCGGACTAGGTGATGATTATTGGGCATTGGGACTGAACTTTCAAGCGCGATACCAACCGGAACAAGGAATTGTGGACAGTTCATATCCTTTGGACTTAGTGAATAGATGGCTCGCTCAAATCGAAGATCCCACGAGTTACACAGAAAGTGTTCATGACTAGCGGGTAGTTGTGAAGCAGTTTGAGACTCCGAAGATGGTTTTCTGAGCAACATTATCAACATGTTTCCATAAATTACATAGATCATCTTACATCCAACGTTAAATGCGGATGCGTTCATCAAAGATAACCTCTATGATCAAGTTCAAGACGCAGTGAACCGCAGTCCGAGACGCGATATTCTCCTTACCTCATGAGACGGGAATGAACGCACTGGTCCAACAGACGAGCACACTCGGTAAAAAGTTCTGGGAAAGTTCGGCCTTGGTCAACGTCGCGAAAAAGGGCGAACACCTAGTCACATTTGCTGACCTTAACCGACTGGTCGTGATCAAAACCCCAGAAAACACTTGCTTACGTGGTACTCGAATGATAGTCGAACGGCGCATCAGGTTGATTACATTTCGATACGTGCTCAGTGGAGGACTGCCATTCCTGTCGCGGCACAGAAACTGGAACAGCACGAACTATACCTCCCTGTATGCGCCCAATTGAAGATCCACCTGATTTCTAGCCGAGCGATTAGTCTCTCAGGCAAATTCAACATCGTGTTCTTGGAACTACCTGAGATAAAACAAGCGCTGCTGGATGCAGCCACTATCAACATAGTCGCATCTTCCCTCGAGGATTCCACTGTCGACGCAGTGATCCACGCTGAAAACGTCCATCAGAGAAGCGGTACTGAATCCTCGAGTGTACACTGCAGTTGTCCGCAAAGGCAAGAGAGGCATGGCTGATCAATTATTCTGAGTTCCGTATTTCTACGTCGCCAAACCACAGACTTCACCAAGGTAGATCAGAAACAATACTGGAAGGCGATTGTAGACAACATGGAGGCTGCAATTGTAGCAGCTAACTTTGAAAAACAGTTTCGTCTAATTGGTGTCACTGTTGCGCAACACCAGGGGCCAACTTATTCAGGGAAATGGTCAGAAAATGCAAGGGTGGATCGAACACTTCGACGAGTTGCTCAATTGCCTATGAAACCCACCTCGCTATACACTGACGTTAAGCAGTTTGGAGACCTAAAACATCAATTGTGACTCATCTAATACGACAGAAATCGCCAATGCAGTCAGTTTCTTTGAAAAGCAGGAAGGCCCCAGGAGAAAACGAGATACCACCAGAGCTATTCAAGGCTTGCCTACCAGCTCTGATCGATCTGATGCACTAGCGTTACCACTCCGTTTGGTAAAGAGAAGTTTTTCCAATAGATTGGGCAACTATAATTTTAGTCCCGGTTCCAAAAAGGGTGACAGATCAGGATGCGAAAATTCTAGAGGTATCAGCTTCATTGATATTGAGGCGAAACTGTTTGTGGTAATACTGCTTCACCAACTCGTAGTCGTCAGAGATACCCACACCCACCCAAACCAAGAGAGGGAGGGGGTTCGCCACGGAAGAGTGCGTTGAACAACTCTTTACTTTCCTTAGGATTCTGGAACACCGCTACAAGTTCTAACAATCTATCACAGCATGGTTCATCGACCTCCGCATTGCCTTTGACTGTCGATAGAGAATCCTTGTGGTGCGTACTGCGGTTCGACGGGATAACCGAGAAGTTTATCAGACTTTTAATATCGTACTACTCAGGGACCCGGGAACGCGTTTACACTTAGCTCTGGAATCCGTTATCGCCAGTGTTATTCAATTACACTGTAGATAATGAGACAAGCAATCGTCGACTACCCAGGAGCGCAGCTTCGCCAAGGTACGTGGATTGCAGACCTCAAGTTTGCGGACGATGTCATCGTACTTGAGGACACCATGGACAACCTCCGAGCTTGTTTTCATTCGCATCATTCAGCTTGCCGAGGCCGTTGGGCTAGAGATCAACACGTCAAAACCAAGATATTTTCGACCGAAATTTCTGCCATAACCCAACCCCTCTCGATTAACAGGAGAGCTTGTCGAATCAACCCACGTTTTCAAGTATCTTAGCTCTACAATCAGACCAAACGGTCAGGCTAAGGATGAAATAAAACTCCGTACAGATGGAGCTAGAAGAGCCTTCCTGTAACGCCAGACCGTTGTGGAATCGATGCGAAATAAGCTTCAACACTGAGCTTCGGGTTTATCAGAGTTACACCTACCCCATCCTCATTTATGATTGAGAAACATGACCGCTAAGAGTATAAGATACAAAGAAGCTCCAGGTCTCTGATCACTGGTGCTTACACTGCATCTCGAAAGTAACTTAGAGAGATCGGATTTCCAATGATAAAATTCGACGGCGCTGCTAGAACATCGACAAGCTTTCAAAAATGCTACAACACCGGCGCCTTCAGTGGTTTGGTTATGTGATCCGAAGGCCAGACACTCAACTCTCGCGGCAGGTTTTAGCCCCATGCACGTTGCCGTGGATGGCATTGCCGACTAGGTGATCAACTGAAGACCTGGAGAAATACGTTCAAGGAGGGCTTGGAATTCGTGAGCCTCTAATCCGTATATGCAATTCGTACTTGACACCAGAATTAGTTCTCCGATTGTGCCAACCTTGCTGCCGATCGTCACGCATGGGCCGCCATCGTTAGAGACATTCAAGAAGCCGACTTATCCTCCCGTAGGAGTAAGTCGCTCAAAAGCAAAAGCAACTAAGCCTAAGTGTCTGTGTATACATGGAAGGTTGTCAGGGACCCAAGATAAAAATAACAGAGAGAATGTGGAATTTTACATATGGACAATTGAATAAATTACTGCTCACTATGTCATACGGAATCGTGACAACGATCTCCCGATCTCTGTTTTACTCGTGTTCATCGAATATTTCTGTGGTGAACCCAATGACTGTAAAACCAATCCAACACGCAATCCAATCAATTATGACTGAGGTCATAGCACCGTGTACGGCGCAATATCTGCACTTGACTCAGATGAAAGTGAAGGATTACATAAACAATCGATCTAAAAACCAGGCCACATTTATTGATGCATGTTCAGACTACTTAGAACATGTGAGTAGTTAGACGCGGACTCACCGATAAGATTGCGAGTCGGTCAAACGACCGGTTTCTTTTCCACTACCCTCATCGGAACCCCCGGATAGGCTAGAGTTCTCATCCGATTCTAATTCGGGACGATAGTAGCGTCGCCTAACAGGCGGTGTGGGATCACGTTTTGTCGGGCTACCTGGGGAGGAGTGGGACGAATGCGAACCCGAACGGGATGATTTTGATCGCACTCGATCGCGAACAGATCTGAATCCAAAAGATGAAAAAGAACGATATGACAGTCTGTACTGAAGAAAAAAACAATTAGCGTATAAGCTGAACTTGAGATTGGTCTATATGATTGCATAAATCACCTGGAATAGATAGGATTTAGGGAACGAAATAAAGGTAACACTTACCTTGAAAATGTGGACCATATAAAATCAAAAGGTGCATATGTGTGTGTGGAACAGAATCAATACGAGCCACACAATGTTACTCGACCCATCCAAAAGAGAAGAACTACGGGGTGCAACATTCATGACTACTACAAAAATACCGGCAGGGCAATGAAAACAAAACACGTCAAGCGCACTGACCGTGAAACCGAGTGACCCGAAGGATCACGCGACGAGGAGCTCGAACGACGACGAGAAGATGAATGCGCACCATGGCGTCTGTCTGAGTCCCGACTTGATCCGGTCCTTCGTCTTGTCGGAGAGGAACGACGATAGCGTGTAACGGTTCTTCCTCGATCGTAGAACGAAGATCCACGACGGGATCGGGGGCTTCGTGATCGAGACGAAATGGATCGTGAACGAGTTCGACTTCGAGAGACTGATGATGACGACTGGGAAGATGAGATACGACGCCTGTACCCATCTGAAGGTGAGGACCTTTAGGCGTTCAGGTGATATAAAAAACAAGAGGGAAGTTTAAAGAACAGGTGGAGAACTTCTGTCTAAGACGCAGAGTTTAATGTGGTCTACAAATTTATCTACGAATGCACACAATGACTAATAAATAGGTCATACAAAAAACGGCCTAATTGCGACATGAGAAGCAGAAAATCGGTACAAGCATTTATTTTATTCCAGAATACGCCTCTAAGGCGAAGCATTCTTTTCACTGATTCATCCTCCGGCCTGTACAGATCAAATAGGAAAATCCCCGTTCAAAATGTCATTTTCTCTACTTGATTTGTACAGGCCGGAAGATGAATCAGTGAAACGAATTCTTCGCCCCTAAATTCGTGTTCTCATATATTTTATTACCTGACAAAAGTGATTACTGTGTTTTACAGATAATCGAAGAGTGAAGAGGCAAGTGAAGAAGAATGAAATACTGTATGATAAAACTACAGGCTTTCCAATCGATTAAGAGCTTTTGCACTATCACATAGTGGGGAGAGCTGAAACAGCTGGGGAAAATTCGCTCCCAGACTCAAACCAAAAAAAAGGTGGCTAACAGAACTATGGTCGTTAGAGATGTTTAAAAAATGGACAAATCAAGCGAACCAGGCTCTCTTCGGGCTGACCATAAAACACTCGATTTCCGTTACCACAGAGATTCAATCCAAATCACGTAATGATCAGACGGGTACTTATAGATTGGGCAGAATGGGGGAGAGAAAAAGAGGAGCAGTCTCTGGAATATTCTATATTTGTAACTTACAGACCAAATCTAACTACCTCACGTATACTGTTGATCAACAATCCTAATGTTCCCTGACTTAAAAGATGCCCTGGGCTCAGCCGAAATGAAGCTCCGATGAGTTTGCTTCTTCCCACAGCAATGCCACAGAAGTGACAATCTGGTAAGGTCACTGATCTCGTATAATTCTCGCGATGTAAGGGTCTATTTTGAGACAGACAAACCGTTCGATACTAGTAGCGGTGTTCTGCAAGGGGGCTCTATTACGCCATTGCTGTTCAATTTCGTCAGCATCGACAAAATAGTGGAGAACACATTAAGTGAACTCCAAAATGTCAGTATTGAATGGGCAACTGGAGAAAGGCTGTGCGATTCGGGGTACGCTGATGACATTTTCTATCCATTCGAATGTATGGAGAACGCCCCCTAGCACATTTGACACACTTGCAGGTTTTGTTACCCTTTTCCGTATACACTTTGCACCTTGAAAGGGCAAAGCGATGCGGCAAGACTGGGTGGGTCTCGACTACCCCGGCTATGAAGCTTGATGGTCAGCAATCCACTAAGGTGGATTGTTTCTTCGTGGACAGTTGCGTGACGAATGACGGTCACGTAGTAAAGGAAGTAACTATACATGCATTTTAAAGAGTTCAACGGCATACACATAATGGGAACACCTTTAGCGCAGATATTTGTCGATACTTACGTAGTTGGATGCAGATGCAATGGAGTGAACTGGTTAGCGACCTCGATGTAAGCCGTCGAGTTTTGGGTGAAGTGGTTTGACAGAAAACTCACTCATGGCGAATTTAAACCAGAAGGTTTTGCTCGATGTTGCACATGATCAATTACTGTCTACCGAAACGCGCCTTATTAGCAGTTGCTGCTTCAGGATGTAGAAACGAGACAAGGAAAATTAAATGGAGCGACTGAGTACGGTAGGTATCTCCACTCTTCCAGATTATGGTCCAGAAGGCTCGTAACTGAGAGAGTGGAGACACTGAAAGAAATGACAGTGAACCGACGCATGTCGTGTTCCAGTTGCCATTTATTATCCGGCTCGAATGGGGTTTGTGTATATATTTAGACTGTGAACTCTATGCACTAACCATAGCATCTAGAGTTAGTTCCCCCACCCTGTAGTATACACTCTGGATTCGGAAGCGATCAGCAAAGTTCGCCTAACTGTATCTCGCTGAACAATGATACCAGACCCAAACTACCTCATTCCCAATTGACAGAACACTCCATACACTGAGCAGATCAGCGAACCCGTCAGAAGCAGAAGCAATAAACAAAAACAGATTAGAAAATAACCTACCTGCCATAGGACCGACGTCTACGAGATAACTGTTGCTGCTGAGATCGGGAACCACTTTGTGACTGGGTTGGACCATAAGCGCTGGATCGGGATGGGAGTGACACTGACGGGGAGCTACGCGGCAGTTTGTCCGAGCCTAACAATTTGGAAACGACGGATGCAGCTAGGGCGGTAGCTGCAGTTCCCGGTTTTTTCGCTAACCAAGGGGGCCCGGACATCAGAGAGTTGCGATCGGTTACACTGTCAGCTTTACCTGATCGGTCATCATCACCATGATCATCATCCTCATGGTCACCGAAAGTGGTGATATATTCAACACGAGAGCGTTTGGTGCGACGACGCGAGGAATCACGACTGGAACGATGACCGGCTCGAAAGCGCTGTGGAAAGTGACCAAAATTCCAGAAAGACAGTAATGTGAAAACTGAGAAGAATCCCCAGAAAAATGATTCAGTTATAGAGATGCAATAGATGCTTTGCAGTGAATTAAATGGTTACATTCTCAAAACACACGGGGATTTGAGAGATTGCATATTCGGAGACCCAAATGATAAATTCGTTACTTCATCAATCTCCAGGGAAGAGCATAGGTTAAGTTGATGCGTCGAAAAAAACGCTCATCACAAGTTTTGGATGGTACACCCAATAACCGTGCACTTTCGTGCAGCGGCTTTGGTTGCTGTCTCATGACTTCGCATTTCGATGAATGAGCAAAGGGAAAACTGGAATCTTCAAATCCGTATCAGATGGAAAATTATTGAAAGTTAATGTTGCAGGAATAATACGCAGATACTCGAGCGCTACCTTTTGCGATACTCAGTCACATCAATAAATACCTGTAACCATCGATTACAACGATGCTGGGGTCCTCATCTAGGGAGTCTAATGCAACCTATATGACTGAGTATCCTGGTTAGGGTTTTTATACCCTCATGCCAGGTATGAGTTTTTTTTTCACCCACAACCTGACTCGGCAAACATGGTTTGGGGACAGGCAAACACACATGGGGAAGAGAAATCGATCAATGCGAAGGCCAAAGGTCAGTCCCCAAACCGGTCAATCTTGTAACCAAACGTGATCTGAATGTATGTGTACACAGTCAATGAGATTACCAAGAAATAGTTGAATTCAATACACCTGTAATCATGATGCTTCTTCTTGCTCTTATAAAAATGATTGGCTGTTATTGAAAAAGGGCAACTGAGCAAACATGGATCGATGGTAATTCTATTCTCCTCTGGCGTCCGTTGGTTGGCACAGTTGTAACATACACGCACACACACACACACACACCTGCCGAATGATGATCTCTAGCGAAACCTGGGTCTACTGCTTCCAGAATTTATGAATAACTTGATGCATGAGGATGAATTCGCAAAGGATATGATGGTTAGTCAATGTATGTATCTAAAGTTGGCTACCGAACATCTTGGAAAAAACGGACAAGTCACGTGGCGACTTACATTACCACCTCGAACGTGATGCGACGAATGACGTGGATCACTCCCGGTACTCGAAGACGAGGATGAAGACGAACCGGATCGACGACCAGATGCCGCATGCTGTGAGCGTCGACGGCGACACAGTCCAATTGAGGTCATTCCCCCAATTAGCACAGAAGGCCCGCGTGCCGTGGTCAAAATCGGTTTCGCCTTAGCTCTCTGTTCGCGCAAAGCAGCCGCCCGAGAGTTCGGACTGACGGATGCATCCAGTTCGTCCGGGTCGTCATCTTCATCCGAAGGATATTCGCCCGAATCAGATGAACTTGCAGAAAGATAGACTGTCCGCCTACATGTGCAGGGGGGGGGGAGTGTGAAGTGAGAATGTAAAAAAGACGATGCAACTGTTCGGAATACCAGCTGGTCGCACAGTCAGTTTGCAGTGCAGTGAGCGAATACTTCTGAACAACGCCCAAATCATGCAAGAAGTAGTTAACATAATACAACGTATTCAAGGACTGTTTCAAGATGATAGATGGATTCTCCAAAAGATCGCTACATATCAGGGAGTGTTCTTTTTATAACAAACCTTTTCCCCACTCACGTACTCTGTACAATTTGTTCAGAAGAGAAAACTAAATACCTTAGTTTAAAGGAGTTGCATCAATGTGATGCGATCCATCGGAAACCTAGTGTGTGTGGCACCACTCCGAAAACGGAAGTCAACACGGTGCGATCCAGAGTGAGACTTCTTGAGCTCCACTCATCCTCAGTTGGTACATAATCGCGTACGTTCCACATTAATTCGGATGCAGACTGAGAGTTAAAACTTACCGTGATACAGGCACGTTAATACACATAAAACATATCCGGGGCACCTCACAATGAGTAGTATATGAATGACTGGACAAAATCTCTCAGAAGTACACGACCGACTTCACAGTTCTTGTCGCTCGTCAGGTAGGCTTATCTGGTAACCTTTTGTTTAATGATTCTTGGGCCTGTCGAAGGCTTGGGGTCTACACTCACAATGGACAATTTGGCTCCGGTAACGGTTGTTGGGCACAGCTGTCTCCACTGTTTTGACTACATGCGTCCGCATTCCGGACCAGGTTGAGGATCACACCCCCTGTCTA